GTCCTGTCCTCTAATGTAAAGTTTGTGCAACTTTTGTTTTAGCATTTCCATGCACAGGCAGTCCCTGCTTTATAGTGCTTCGCTTTACATTTTGTTTTGCTAATACAGTGGTTTTCAATTATACCCATTCTTCATTTATTCAGACTTCGTACAATAAATATAGTATTCACCACTCGCTTTAAGCTAAGGACAAAAATATTTTGAGGTAATTTGTGTACTGTGTACGTATGCCTTTTTAAGGCCTAGCTATATTGTTCACTTAATATGTGATAGTGTAAAGAGTGCCCCGTGGCCTGGTGGCAAAGCTCTTGCTTCACACGGTGAGGGTCCGGGTTCGATTCCCAGTGAAGGGTGCGTTTCCTTACACCGTACACTAACTACCCCCTTCAAGGCTGGCGACATGGCAGACCTGGAGAGTGTATAAAGAACTCTTACGGCACACAATAGTATGATAAGGCAACTAAATTACTGGGAACGGTTGAAGGTCCTTGATCTGTATTCCCTGGAATGCAGGGGAAGAAAAATGCATGATAATATAGTGGACCCCCAGTTATCCGCCGTAATCCGTTCCAGAAGGTTGGCCGATAACCGAATTAATGTTTCCCATAAGAATTAATGGAAATACAATTAATCTATTCCAAACAAAAATATTCACCAAAAAAAAAAATATATGTAAGTATTACATACCTTTTATTGAAGGCTAATGCTGGCTTCTGGAAGATAGGGAAGAGGAAAGAGGGAAGAGTTAGTGTTTGGAAAGGGAATCCCCCTCCATAAAGACTTTAGGTAGCAAAGCCTTCTCTGGGGTTACTTCCCTTCTCTGTCTTGTATTGCCACTAGGACCAGCTTGAGTCAATGGACCCGTCTCACAAAATAACTGTCCAGAGTGCTCTGTTTCTGGCTTCTCTTTAAGATTTCCCTGAAGTGGGACAGGATTTTGTCACTAAACATGTTGCAGATATGGCTTGTTTCAGCTTTGTCAGGGTGGTGTTTCTCTACAAAAGCTTGCACCCTACTCCACATTGCACACACCTCTTTAATCTCTGAAGAAGGCACCTCCTTCACTCCCTCTTCCTCCTCCTCTGAAGCAAGTTCCTCAGCTGCAGTCTGTTGCTGTTTGAGATGAAGCTCTTGCAGCTCTTCAGTGGTTGGCTCTTCCCTGTGGTCCTCCACCAATTCTTCCACATCCTCGCCACTCACCTCCAACCCCAGGGACTTCCCCAGTGCCACAATAGAGTCCACAGGGTTGGCAGGGTCAGGGCCAGTCTCAAACCCTTCAAAATCCCTCTCTTGGACAAAATCTGGCCACAGTTTTCTCCAAGCAGAGTTCAAGGTCCTGGAAGTCGCTCCCTCCCAAGCATTACCTATAAGGCTTATGCAGTGGAGGATAGTGAAGTGATTCCTCCAGAACTGTCTTAGGGTCAACTGAGTGTCCGAGGTCACTTCAAAGCACTTTTGAAACACTGCTTTTGTGTACAGTTTTTTGAAGTTAGAAATGACCTACTGGTCCATGGGCTGGAGGAGAGGAGTGGTGTTAGGAGGCAATAACTTCACTGTGATGAAATTGAAGTCCCTAAACACTTGGTCATCCAAGTCTGGAGGATGTGCTGGAGCATTGTTCAGTACCAGGAGGCACTTGAGTGGCAATTTCTTTTCCAGGAGATATTTTTTCACACTTGGGCCAAACACAATCAATCAATCAAGTTTATTCTCTGTAAGGATTACAATGCGTGGTTTACAGATTTTGGTTATTGTGTGGCTTACATGTAATAAAATACTAATTACAGAGGGGGCCACTAGAACACCTAGCATGGCTAGGCATTTCTGGCAAACTTAGATTAATTCTTAACCTGCCCGTAATGCTATGCATTCAAGTGGCTTTGACATGCTGCATTTAACTGTATTCTTTTGTACTTCTCTGTATCATGTTCAAATTAATAAATAAATAAATAAAATAAAATAAATTATTACAAATTATTACAAATTAGTGACTAAATACTAGTTTGTGAGTTTAGCAATGTGAATGCTTTTGTTTTGGCACAATACATAGTTTATATATTGGAGTATCACAGGCAAACTTATGACTAGTTAGGAATCATTATTTTAAGATTAAGATTCGTATTTCTGTGCTTATAGTCAAATGGGTGAGTGGGTGAACCACCAGGTGGTTTTTATGTAGTTAGTTGACGGGGTGTATCAGGGAGATAAGATGTTTTCTAACGGTAGTTTTGAAGGTGATGAACATGTCTGCAGTTCTAGAGTTTTCAGGTAGGGTGTTCCAGATTTTAGGGCCTTTGACACGCATTGAATTTTTGCAAAGGTTTAGTCGGACACGGGGAATGCTGTAGAGATGTTTGTGTCTGGTGTTATGCCTGTGGGTCCTGTCACAACTATAAAGAAAGCATTTTAGGTCAAGGTTAATATTGGAATTTAAGGTCCTGTATATTTAGATTGCACAGTAGTAAGTGTGGATATTCTGAACAGGGAGTAAGTTTAGATCTATGAAGAGTGGTGGGGTGTGTTGCCAGGGATGGGACTTAGTGATTATTCTTACTGTGGCTTTTTGTTGGGTTATTATTGGCTTTGAAAATTTGCCTTGTGACACATGCCTTGTTAGCTTTCCACATCACACACAATCTATTCTTCATGACATGGTTTTTCTTGAACACACTGGAATTTTTTGAGTGATACACCAGTAAAGGCTTCACTTTGAAATCCCCACTAGCATTACCACACAACAAAAGAGTTAGCCTGTCTTTCATAGGCTTGTGTCCTGGCAGTGCCTATTCCTCCTGGGTAATGTAGGTCCTGTTTGGCATTTTCTTCCAAGACAGTCCTGTTTCGTCACAATTGAACACTTGTTGGGGTTCGAATCCTTCAGCCTTTACATAGTCCTGGAATTCATGAACATACTTTTCAGCCGCACATTTGTCAGAACTTGCAGCCTCACCATGCCTTACAACACTGTGTATGCTACTATGCTTCTTAAATTTATCAAACCATCCTTTGCTGGCCCTAAATTCACAAACTGCAGCATTTGTTTTAGGCATTTTCTTTGCAAGATCCTCATGCAACTGCCTTGCCTTCTCACAAATAATAGACTCCACAACACTGTCTCCCACTAATTCTTTTTCCTTAATCCACAGTAATAATAATTTTTCCATCTCTTCTATTATTGGTGGCCTTTGGTTAGTTAGAAAAGTTACTCCTTTTGCAACATGAGCATCTTTGATTTGTTCTTTCTTTGCCAGGATGGATGTAATTGTTGATTTATTCTTGCTGTACATCCTGGCAAGTTCCACCTTCATACCACTCTCAAACTTCTCTGTCACTTCATGCTTAAATTCCATGGTGTTTCTCACTTTCTTTGCCACAGGAACTTTACTAGGAACTTTCTTTGGAGCCATCTTTACTTATTTTACAGTTGCACTGCAAGAAAAACCACTAAATACATTGGTACACAAGCGAAATGTTTGGATGTATGAGCAGAAGCTTCCTCAGCCACCGAGAGACAAAGCCAAACTGAAGCGCAAGCTGCCTCAGCCGGCAGATGGACGCGTCCAAAACGGCCAATAACCGAGTGAACGGCCGATAACCGGGCGCAGAAAAACCCACCGATAATCGAATTGGCCGATAACAAAACCAGCTGATAACCAGGGGTCCACTGTATACACATGGAAGGTCCTGGAGGGATTGGTACCAAACCTGCACACGAAAATCACTCCCTATGAAAGCAAAAGACTCTGCAGGAGATGCAACATTCCCCCGATGAAAAGCAGGGGCGCCATGAGTACATTGAGAGACAAAACAATAAGTGTCCAGGGCCCAAGACTGTTCAACTATCTTCTAGCATACATAAGGGGGATTACCAATAGACCTCTGACTGTCTTGAAGGCACTGGACAGGCACCTAAAGTCAGTACCTGACCATCTGGGCTGTGGTTCATACGTCAGCTTGCGTGTGGCCAGCAGTAACAGCCTGGTTGATCAGACCCTGATCCACCATGAGCCCTGGTCTCAGACCAAGCCCCGCGGGGGCGTTGACCCCCGAAACCCTCTCCACGTAAACTCCAGGTTATCCATGTTCACCATCAGTAATAATGGGTGAAATGCTCTGCATAACAAGGGGCTTTCTATATAGTAGTACGTCATTGATGTCAGCTAGGCCTGTATACCTTGTACATGTACTTGTAGAAATAAAAATAGTGGTACCTCGGGATACGAACAGCTCAAAATGCGAACAGTTATGTAAGTGTATTTATGTAAGTGCTTTTGTAAGTGTATTTTTCGGGTTCTGAAACGGACTAATCTAACTTACATTATTCTTTATGGGAACAAATTCGTTCAGTATCAGCACTCGAACAGCCTTCTGGCACGAAACAAGTTCGTATCCCGAGGTACCACTGTATTATGTTATTATATTAAACATGTTATTAGGCTTTTATATTTATTTGCAAGTGAAAAAAGGCTATGATACATGTAGGCCAATTTTAGAATACTTAATCGTAGAGCTTTAGTAAAATATTTAACAGGTGTTTTGTGCATTTATAAGCCTACTCTATTACTAGATAAGATTTTGTTTGAATTTTTAATCCCGAAGGGCTAGCCACTCGGGATAACCCAAGAAAGTAAGTGCGTTATCGAGGACTGTCTGTCTTATTTCCATTGTGGTCCTCAGTCTTGTCCCCCAGGATGCCACCCACACCAGTCAACTAACACCCCAGGTACCTACTTGCTGCTAGTTGAACAGGACAATAGGTTTAAGGAAACCCGCCACCACGTTTCCACTCCGCTGGGAATCGAACCCGGGACCTCCGTGTGTGAAGTGAGAGCTTTACCAACCAGGTCATGGGATAAGTAAATAAGTAAATAAGTAATTTAGCCACTTGGTGCACTATATTTTGTTTTATTATCACAAGACTTGTTTATGGTAGTTACAAAAACTACATTTCCGTCCTCTTGCATTTTTCTAAGATGTAATGTGATGAAAATTTTTTGCAGGCTTGGTGGGTGTCTGTGGGGTTGGTATGGGCGGGCTATGATGAATATATGACCTGTGGAAGTGGCAATGAACGATATGGCAGACAGTACCACCACTTCCCTGAACTTCCTTGTGATATTAGCAAGAACAGCTGGTGTGAAAGTGCTGGCACCCAGTACCCATGGTAAGTCTACCCCTCTCTGGGTAATTTTACTGTAATTGTCATTTCTTAGTGTACTAAATGTGATTTGTAACTCTCACAGACCATACATATATAACAACATTACACTAGAAATGTTCAGTTACTGAACTTATTTTGGAAATAACCTCAAATTCCAGGATAAGTGGTAAGTAGGATAAATTAAGTGCTACAAGACTGACAACTCAGTAGACAAGGTACAAAGTAGCTTTTCTAGACAAAAATAGATTGAACATGTTTGATAACTTATATCTTGAATACTTCTTCAGTACAGTTTGTCTAATATAATGCATACAAGAGGGTATAAGGCTTGCTAAGCCACAGTGCAAAACATTCAGAAGATATTTCTTCAGCTATAGCAGAATCACTGTTGTTGCTTCTTTTCCTGTTGCTCCTCTTCTGCATCTACTTTTGTATTTCTTTCTACTACCACTGCTGGTCTTGCTGCTGCTCTTCATCGTGCTTCTTTCTCCTGCTTGTACTGCTGCAGTATCTGTTGCTGTGGCTCTTCCTCCTCCTACTGCTGCCCCTCCTGTTGGCTCCTCCTCCTACTGCTGCCCCTCCTGTTGGCTCCTCCTCCTCCTCCTACTGCTGCCCCTCCTGTTGGCTCCTCCTCCTCCTTTGCTTCTTATCAGGAAAATTGATTTTATGTAAATATTGATTATAATTAGTACAGTGGAACCCTGAGTTTCAAACTTAATCCGTTCCAGGAGCTAGTTCTAAAGTTGAGACATTCGAAAGTTAAAGCAATATTTCCCGTAAGAAATAATGTAAATACAATTAATCCGTTTCAGAAACCCAAAAATATTCACAAAAAAATACATGTTATGGAGATTGCATTATAGTTTTACACACACAACAAACATACATAATACAATTAGTAATTGATAAATAAAAATTTAAGTAAACATGTAAAATAACATTTTTACTTGCCTTTATTGAAGATTGTTGATGGCATCTGGAAGATAGTGAGGAGGAGTGAGGGAGCACTTAGTGTTTGGAAGGGGAATCCCCTTCCATAAAGACTTCAGGTAACAAGTCCTTATCTGGGGTTACTTCCCTTCTTTGTCTTTTAATTCCACTAGGACCAGCTTGAGTCACTGGACCCCTGTCTTATCTACCAACCTGTCGGTATTGTATACCATTTGATAAGGACCCCTGTCACACAAAATAACTGTCCACAGTCCTCTGTTTCTAATGCCTCTTTAAGATTTCTCTAAAATGGGACATGGTTCTGTCACTGAACCTGTTGCAGAGATAGCTTATTTCAGCTTGCTCAGGGTGGTACTTCTCCACAAACGTTTGCACATCATTCCGCTTGGCACAAATCTCCTTAATCTGTGAAGAAGGCAACTCATCCACTCCCTCTTCCTCCTCCTCTGAAGCAAGTTCCTGAATTGTGGGCTGGTACTGTTCCAGATGAAGCTCTTTCAGCTCTTCAGTGGTTAGCTCTTCCCTGTGGTCGTTCACCAACTCTTCCACAGCCTTGCCACTCGCCTCCAACCCTATGGAGTTGCCCAGTGCCACAATATCTTCCACAACAGGCAGAGGGTTGGCAGGGTCAGGGTCAGCCTCAAACCCTTCAAAATCCCTCTGGATGACACATTGTGGCCACAGTTGTCTCCAAGCAGAGTTCAAAGTCCTGGAAGTCACTCCCTCCTAAGTCTTACCCATAAGGCTTATACAGGTGTAGATATTGAAGTGATTCGTCCAGAACTCTCTTAGGGTCAACTTAGTGTCTGTGGTCACTTCAAAGCACTTTTCAAACACTGCTTTTGTGTAGAGTTTTTTGAAGTTAGAAATGACCTGCTGGTCCATGGGCTGGAGGAGAGGAGTGATGTTAGGAGGCAAGAACTTCACTGTGATGAAACTGTGGTCCCTAGACAGTAGGTCTACCAAGTTTGGAGCATGTGCAGGAGGATTGTCCAGTAACAGGAAGCACTGGAGTGGCAAATTATTGTCTAGATATGTATTTTCTCACACTGGGGCAAAACACTTCATGGATCCACTCTTTGAAAATTTGCCTTGTGACCAATGCTTTATTATTTGCTTTCCACAAGACATAACTTGTTCTTTATGACATTGTTTTTCTTAAACACACTGGGATTTTCTGAGTGATACACTAGTAAAGGCTTCACTTTAAAATCCCCACTAGCATTACCACAAAACAAGATAGTTAGCCTGTCTTTCATAGGCTTGTGTCCTGGGAGTGCCTTTTTCTCCTGAGTAATGTAGGTCCTCTTTGGCATTTTCTTCCAAAAGAGGCCTGTTTCATCACAGCTGAACACTTGTTGGAGTTTGAATTTTTCAATGTCTACGTACCCCTTAAAATCATTCACAAAGTTTCAGCCGCCCGTTTGTCTGAACTAGCTGCCTCACCATGCCTTACAACACTGTGTATGCCACTACGCTTCTTAAATCTGTCATACCAGCCTCTGCTGGCCTTAAATTCACTATCAGCACTGGTTACAGGAGTTTTCTTTACAAGATTGGCATGCAACTGCCTTGCCTTTTCACAAACGATTGTCTCAGAAAACTATCTCCCTCCATAGCTTTAGCTTTGATCCACACCAGCAATGACAACTCAACCTGATCAACTGTCTGTGGTCTATTTTTGGCTTGCAACATTAGCTTTCTTGAATTCTTTTCTCCTCACCAAGATAAAAAGTGATTGTTGACTTGTTTTTCCCATACATTCTGGCAAGCTCCACAAGTCGCACACCACTCGTATTTTTCTATTTCCTTCTTCACGTCTATGGTGTTTCTCACTTTCTTTACCACAGAGGTACCACTAGCAAGTTTCTTTGGGCCCATGGTAGCTTATTTCACAGTCGCACAAGCACCAAACACAATGAATTAATAGAGAAATGTTTGAATGAGCTTGCAGGTTAGTGCTCACTCAAGCATCAATAAAGCCAGACTGGCTCACAACGCCTGCATGGGGACATGGACAATGGGCAGGCGGACAGGCCTGGTACCCAGCGGTTTGAAACACAGGGCGCGTTCAATACTTGGGACAAAATTGGTTCGAAAAAAGTGGTCAAAACTCGAAGCATTCGATAGTTGATACGTTCGAAACTCGGGGTTTCACTTTACTTCAGATAGCTGTAATATACTGTAATTTGCTTTAAAATTCTCCTGTTTAATATAAAAACATTTTGAAAAATTTAACTTCAGGCTGTAGAGCAGTTTGTGTATTTTTGTTTCCCCTTTACTGCCTCTTCTAATTACTTATTCTTTTATCAGGGGTGCTGTCCGCCGTTTTGTTTACGAAAATCAAGGTCTGATGAAGCGTATGTATGGTAATCAACGCCACTACAACGTGCTGAGGGCTGAAGTACTCAATGAGTTGTATGAGGATATGTTTGATGAAATGCCCAAGCGACACCACCAGTATCAACACTCTACACCACCTAACACTAGATCAGCTAGATACCAAAATCCTTCAAATTCAAATAGCTTCAACTCGGAGAGCTCCAATTCGGCTAAAAAACGAAATCAGCTTGATGCTCGAGCAATGAAAGTGACCATGGAGCCTGATTATGTTGGTTTACAACAAGCCCCCACTACTGATAGGTCAAAATCCCAATCTAAAGCTTCTAAAACACGAACAAAAGGGACACCTGTTAGAACAAACACCAGGCTGAAGGAGTCGACTAGAACCCCCACTGTCACAGGAGAGAGCACCAAAACTACTTCTAAGGGGACTACAAGTTACCCTCCAACTACAATTACAGAGGATGTACTAACCACATCACGTAAGTCCTTTTTAAATAACGATTGTCTTGAATACTAGTTGCTGATTTGGTAATTTCATATATATTTATATTGTCTTTGAAAATGATAATTTTAACACTTGTTAAGTAGGTTACTTGTAACTAGATACAGGATTTAAACTTAGTTATGACAAAACAGTACAAATTTGAAGATAATATACTGTACATGTAATATGAGGAAAGACATTGGATTTGTATGTAGGGAAATCTAGTGGTGTTCTGTGTGGCCTGGTGGCTAAAGCTCCCGCTTCACACACGGAGGGCCCGGGTTCGATTCCCGGCGGGTGGAAACATTTCGACACGTTTCCTTACACCTGTTGTCCTGTTCACCTAGCAGCAAATAGGTACCTGGGTGTTAGTCGACTAGTGTGGGTCGCATCCTGGGGGACAAGATTGAGGACCCCAATGGAAATAAATTAGACAGTCCTCGATAACGCACCGACTTTCTTTGGTTATCCTGGGTGGCTAACCCTCCGGGGTTAAAAATCCGAACGAAATCTAATCTTATCTTCTTTGAAATATGTGTTAGGACATGGGAATGATTATTGAAACTTTAACAGAATTTTATTGATTTTGATAGATAAGAATCGACACCTTTCAGAACACGGTAGTACTTATTAACATACTGATAACACTTTGAAGGAAATACGTAAGTTGTAATTTACTGATTAAGGCTTTCAAGGAAATGGGCTGTAATATACTGATTAAGACTTTGAAGGAAATAAGTTGCATTAGAAATTAGTCTTAGTAATTATTCTTCACTTATCAAAATAAACTAATTTTTTATTATAAATATTTAAATGCTGTTAAAGGCACCTACAAAAGGCCTGAACTAATACCAAAGAATTTTTTTTCAAGTTTTGATTAGCCTCTAGACTTTACATGATGTAATCTAAAACGTGCATTGATCGCTTACTTGTCAGTCGTTATCATGAATAATGTGAAAGTTAAGACAATAAGGGAAAAAAATATTAGTAGTAAAAATGTGGAAAAAAGTTAAAACAAATATTACAATATGGTATCCTAAATAGTGAAGGCTTATTGAAAGACAGTAGGTAAAGATAATTTAAAATATACTAGGAATACAGTGGACCCTCGCCTAACAAACGCATCGAATAACGTTAAATCCGCCTAGCGATACATTTTAACGCAAAAATTTTGCCTCGGCTAGCGCTAAAAAACTCGCCCAATGCGATTCGTTCCATTTGAGACGCGTCCACGTGTGGCCTGAGCGCGCCTCACTTGTCCTGTGGGTGCCAGTGTTTACAAGCCAGCCACCGCAGTCGCATCCAAACATACAATCGGAACATTTCATATTATCACAGCGTTTTTAGTGATTGCACCTGCAAAATAATCACCATGGGCCCCAAAAAAGCTTCTAGTGCCAACCCTGTGTTAAAAAGGGTGAGAATTAGTATGGAAATTAAGAAAGATTTTGAAGGGTTTGGGGCTAACCCTGAGATGCCTATGCCAGTTGTGGAATCCATTGTGCCTACTTCAAAGATTAAGGAAATGTGTGCAAAGTGGGTTGAACTGCAAATCTTTATGGATGAAAATTGCCCTAACACAGCTATTGCAAGCCATGCTGGTGACTATTACAATGACAATGTTGTGGCCCATTTTAGGCAAATCTTAAAGGAACGGAAGATACAGACCTCTATAGACAGATTTGTTGTGCGACAGAGGTCCAGTGACTCTCAAGCTGGTCCTAGTGGCATTAAAAGAAGAAGGGAAGTAACCCCAGAAAAGGACTTGATACCTCAAGTCCTAATGGAAGGGGATTCCCCTTCTAAACATAAACACCATCCACACTTTCCCCTCCTCCCATCCTATCAGTCATCACCAGATCTTCAATAAAGGTAAGTGTCATGTAATTGTACATGTCGTCTTCAGTTCGTGTGTATTAAAATTAATATTTCATGTGGTAAAATTTCTTTTTTTCATACTTTGGGGTGTCAGGAATGGATTAATTTGATTTCCATTACAGTGGTCCCTCGATAATCGTAGTTCTCGAGAATCGTAAATTTCGGAAATCATAGGGATATTTTCGTATAAACATGGGCTCGCTAATCGTAGATTGACTCGCAAATAGTAGTTCGTCTGGGACAGGTACACACAGTGGAAATATAAACACATATGCAGTATAATGTGATCCTTTATTGACTACGTTTCGCCCACACAGTGGGCTTTTTCAAGTCACAAACAGATCTACCTGGGGGTGGAAGGGACGCGAGTATTTATAGTCAGGTTCAGAATGCTGAGGTCAGGTGGAGAATGCTGCATCTGATGATGTACCGAGTGGGGTTATAGAGTCTAAAATCTTGGGTAGCTTGGAAAGGAGATTGGATAAGTTTGTGAGCAGACCTTCTACAGTGTTCTTCCATTCCTGTGTTCTTATGTGGGATAGCGATGAAGAAGTTTCTTGGCAAGTGGTTCAGCAATGTTATAAAAAGCCACTATTCTGGTTGAATTTTGTCGGATATAGAAATAAGTGATGATTCCAGGATTCTTGGGTATTGAGTTTTTGTCTTCTGTGGCGATAAGTCTTGAGTTTCTGTAGTTTATCAAGTGGTTGTGTGAATTACGGTGTTGTACACAGGCATTTCCCTTTTGTGTCAGACCTGTTTGCGTATTGGTGTTCTGAAATACGTGTTTGGAGGTCCCTTGATGTTTTGCCCACGTATAATTTGTTGCAGTCATTACAAGGGATTATGTATACCCCTGCAGAGGGTGGAAGCTTGTCCTGTCTATCACTGGTAATGTCCTTGATGGTCGTGGTTGTGGAGGTAGATACTTGGAATGAGGTATTGGAAAAGATGTTGGAAACGTGTTTGGCAATGGAGTTGGTGGGGAGGACTATGTATCTCTTCTCGGCAGTGTCTTCTCTGGGTGTGTTGATGTTTAATGCTCGTCGTCTGCAGTCTCTGATGAAGTGACGAGGATAGTGGAGTTTAGAAAATACTTGCTTCTTCCTGCGTGCACTCAGAATCTGCAGCAATGAGTTTCTTGAAGAAGAATGCACGATAATTGAACAAGTGGGGGTTGTTAGGACTTTAAACTAGGATTAGTTAGAGGTATGGGTTTAGAAATGATAAATAATGATATGGATATATTGACTTATGCTCTGATATTAAGAATCTTAATAGTAACTGTCATGGAGTAACTCTGGGTAATGATAATTTCAGAAATTGTGTAAAAACAAAGATGAATAGGAAAAATGTGCAGAAGAAAAAACATATGATGGTATTTTATGCTAACAGTCGAAGTGCAAGAAATAAAATTAATGAACTACGTTTGGTAGCATGTGCTGGGAACTTTGATATCATTGCATTAACTGAAACGTGGTATGAGTTAAAGAGTCGGGATATGACTGCTGAGTGTAATATTCAGGGATTTAAGTTGTTCAATGTGGATAGATGTAATGGGAAGGGGGGAGGAGTTGCATTGTATGTTCGAGAAAATATTAATTGAAGATTGAGACACTTATGCAGCATATGGGAATCTTTATTCAGGAAACGTTTCGCCACACAGTGGCTCATCAGACTGATGAAGCCATGTGTGGCGAAACGTTTCCTGAATAAAGATTCCCATATGCTGCATAAGTGTCTCAATCTTCAACTTGTCGGTTTTTCAAACCATTCATCACAAAATATTAATTGTTGCATAAAAACAGGTATAAAAATAGATGGAGCAGTAACAGAGTCTGTTTGGGTAGAGTTCGTGGAGGGTCAAGAAAAACTAATTCTAGGTGTAATATACCGACCTCCAGGCTTGGATCACGATAGAGGGAGACTTCTTTGGGATGAAATTGTTAGGGCTTCTGGACACAGTAACATAGTCATAGTAGGGGACTTTAACTTTAGTCAAATTGACTGGAATTCTTTGACAGGTAATCTAGAGTCCAGTGACTTTATGGAAACAGTTCAGGACTGTTTTCTGAAACAGTGTGTAACTAAGCCTATCAGGGGTAATAATTTGCTAGACCTAGTCTTGTCAAATAAGGAAACACTCGTGAATAATCTGGAGATCACTGAAGAGCTTGGCGCAAGTGATAACAAATCCATCACTTTTAGCATTAATTGGGAATGCAAGAATAATGATAATACAGTAAAAATCCCTGATTTTCATTCTGCCGATTATAATGGACTTAGGGAACATCTGTCTAATCTTGATTGGGGTTATCTAGCTAATTATTTTATTGACGATAATCATACTTATGAATATGAAGGGATCTGCTTTTATGATTGTTTTCTTAATAATGTATCTGTGCCCAGAGTATATACATTCCCCAGAGAGAAATTAGGTCTAATAATAACGATCCCAAATGGGTTAACAGGAGGCTAAAGCATCTATTAGGGGAGAAAAGGGGAATTTATAGACGCATCAGAAGAGGAGAGGTTAACCTTACTGACCAATATGTTCAGCTTAAAAGAGAAGTAAAAAAGGCGATTAGAAAGGCTAAACGTGACTATGAAATTAGAGTTGCTAATGAATCAAAGACTAATCCAAAGGGGTTCTTTCAAGTGTATAGGACGAAGGTGAAGGAAAAAGTAGGACCTCTGAAATCTGGGAATGGACAGCTGACGGATAATGAACTGGAAATGTGTTCCTTATTTAATGACCATTTTTTGTCAGTTTTTACACAGGAAGATGTAAATGAGATTCCAGTAATTAACAATTATTTAGTTCCTGATGAATTTAAGTTAACTAATATTACTGTCACGAGGGACATGGTTATTAAACAGATAGACAAACTGAAACAAAATAAGTCCCCGGGACCCGATGAGTTGTTTTCAAGGGTACTTAAGGAATGGAAGATGGAGCTTAGTCAGCCATTAACGAGTGTATTCAATGCGTCCATCCTTACCAGTGTTGTGCCAGAGTTGTGGAAGATGGCTAATGTGGTTCCTATATTCAAATCAGGGGATAAGTCCACTCCTTCAAATTACGTCCAATAAGCCTGACATCTATAGTGGGCAAGT